TGCAACCATGTTGGTTTCAGTGAATATTTGGTCAATCCCACCAGTCTTGYCTCAGTGTTTTTCATATTTTCATTGTCATGGAGTTACAAGAGGAAAAGAGGAATTGTTCGGTAGCAAAAACTGATAGCAGAGTCTCAAGTCCATGAAGTTGTTGAGTACTGAGGATGCTGCAGTGGTTTCTCACCCTTTACCTCTAAGAAACCTGCGCACCAATGGGGATTTTTTTAAACAAAATTTGTCAGAACTTTATCYAGTCTCACTCTCCTGCTGAGTGCAAAAGCTGAATGGAGGGTGAGTGAGTTGTACGGCAGAGAAAAACCTGGGGTTGGATTTCAAAAATAAGCAGGAGTGAACACTTGTGAGTGGGAATGTCTCTGTCTGCCTCTCACAGACTATACGTAGAGACCAAAAAAAAAGGCCTGTGCACCATTTTTGCTTTCTCCCCAGCCTGAGTGGAAGGGCCTGGTGAAATTGCTGGTGGGGAATCAATGACCTCTGTGATGTTGGCAGTCAGATCGCATCGATCCTAACAGGCCGTGAGTTTTGACTGAAAGGGTAATTAATTGTCAGAGCATCTCAGTGAGAGACAGGAGAGGTTCTCATGGCCGTATCCCGGCGTTCCTGCTGGAAAGGGGAGTCTCCCTAAAGGACAGGAGGCAGCACTTTTGATCCAGGAGCACCTGGAGGCCAAGCTGACCCCTCAGGCTCCCTTATGAAGTGCTGAAGACAAAGAGATGAAAGCCAAAGAACTCCAGCACAGAAGTTCCAACACGTTGAGCTCGGAGATGACAGAGAAAAAGGCTGTGTGATAGCCTCGTCACTCTCCCCAGCCACTCTCTAATAAAAGCCATCACYTCTCCTCACAAGCTGCGCCTCTCAATTAGCAGTGGCGTGCGAGAATCTCTTCTAACTCCACCACAAAGCTCTCCCTCGCCGCAGAAACTCTTAGCACCGAGCTGTCTGGTGGTGTCTTCGGAGCGAGGCAGATTTAGTTCAGCTTCAGTGTGTGCCAGCTGGGGCCCTGGCAGAACGAGCCYGGTCTTTTCTTCTCTTTCTGCAGGGGTTGATGCCTGTGCAGAGCTCAAAAGGAAAAGGCAAGTCCCAGGCAGCGGGGCCTGCCAGGGTTCACAACCAGAAGGGTCTTGCTGTAGTTGTTAATTTGAGAGGGAAGGGAAAGGTGGGGAAACATCAGAGGCTAAAAATAAACCCGCTCAATTTGTTCTGCAGGAGAAGTATCAAATGCCGGCGTGATTTGATTCGAGCAGAAGAATTGAACTTAATTGGGTTAGTTATTAAAATCTCCCAGYGCAAATAGGTTACTCTGGTGGAAGGGGTTTTGTTGTGAAGCAACRTCAAAAAGAAGAAAAAGAAGAAAAAAGGAGAGGATGAAATGATTCTCTCCTGGCCTGGGAATTTCTCCTGTGCTTGCTGGCAAGACAACTCCAATCAGAGTATTTTTAAAGAACATATCTGATCCACAGCATCCCTCAGTGGTCCCCAGGGACACTGCAGAGACCAGAAAGTTTTGACAGGCCAGCGGAGGAGAAAGGGGCAGGGAGATGAGAACATTCCCCCTCTCTGCTTTTTGTTGTGCTCTGCTGTTTTGTAACCCAGGGTGCTGGAAGCTTCCACACCCCAGAATTCTCCTGTGAACCACGGGACAATCCGTGACCGTGGCCAAAGCACTGGTCCAGGGGATGGCATTTGGAACTCACTCCCTGCTCTGGGACAGGCTCTGAGGGTGACCAAGTGCTGTCACAACTGGGGAATTCAATCTCCCCGTCCCACAGCTCCACTTCAGCAGGCTGGAAATGAAAATGCCTCATTCCCGCCCCTGTTCTGCCTTATCTGCAGAAGCCATGAGCTGCTGGCACAGGGATGAGCTCTGCTTCCGTGCAGAACACAGCTGGGGCCACACTTGCCCTCCAGGGTTCCATCACAATTGAGATTTCTCACGAGGGATCCTAAACCAGGGGAAGAAGCATCTGTTTCCAAGCAGAGAGTGCAACTTTTTCATTCCCAGTATCTGCTGGGGAGGAATCCATCTTTGAACTGCAGCTGGGGCTGGAGCCACGCAGTTTTGGCACTTGCCTGTGGGAGCAGCGATGTCGAGGCAGCTTTTTGGGTCTTGTATGGGTCCTTCAAAGAAGCAAGACCTCTCAGGGCCATAATTTCAGTTTTGAGCCTTCCCCAAAGCCCAGAGCAGCAGTGGGACATGTCCCGACCAGCTGGAGGCACAAACTCAGTTTCCTATTAATTGGTAATTTTACATGCACAGCAAATAAAAAATGTAATCAAAAACTATTAAATCAAGGTTTTTGTCCTCCCCTCCCTCAGGAGTGACAAATAACTCTAACACCATCCTCCTGGCTCCCTCTGCTTTACATGTTGTAAATAATGTGCTTCTCAGCACAAAGATCTCCTGTGGTGGATGTTTTTCTCCCAGATCCCACCAACTCTGGGACCGACTCAGCTCCACCCACAGACAGAAACATCCAAAAACCTCCTTGCAATGATTTTTTTTTTTTTTGTCTGTGATGTCTCAAAACACATTTCTGCAGGCTCCTGGGCTCTGCAGCAGTGTTTGGAAACGAACTGCTGATGCAATTCTGACTTGTTGGGGCTCAGATCTTCTCCCTTTTGTGCACAAGATGAAAGCAGACAGAGGTCAGAATGAAGATCACCATCACGGGGGATGTGTCCATCCTGTCTCTTCATTTATTTGTTCTTCCCTTCGTTCTTACTCCACTGATTCATGCCAGGCCTCATTTTWGATACATCCAACACTGGAGGTGGTGACCCTGAGCGATGGAAGAGGTAGAGTCTGGCGCCACGGAGCTCACCCACAAAAGATCTGCCCATTAAAAATTAAGAAATAAAACCCTTCAGCAGAGTGCAGCAGCAGCAGTTTTCTTGCAAAGAKCTGCCACAAGGCAAAGCAAGGATGTGAGTGGAATTTCCCGTGSATTTTAGTGAGCTAATCCTCAGAATGGATGCATGTCCAATTTTCAGACAGGCAGAGCAGATTCCAGAGCGGTGAAGGGACTGTGAGGGACCAAGCAGGTGCAGAGCTTACAGTGCAGCTCCAGTCCTCCTTCCTCACAGACCGTGCTCTTTATTTCCTCTTCCAACTGCCTTTTCCATGTCTTTGCTGGAGGAGGAAGCTTTACYAACAGAGTTTTTCTCTCCTGGCAGAACCCCACGAAATCTGTGATGAGGAAAGCCTTGGCCCTGTGGTTTGGAAAGAGACGCCAGCCGGGGATGCTGCTGCTGTCCGGTGTCCCCGCAACGCCACTGGTAAGGGTGACTGCATAGTTGGAAGGGCATCCTTCATCCTTTGTGTCCCATGGGACTAGAACCTGGTTGTGGGAGGACAGGACAGGCACGTGGACTTCCATTTATCCCTTCTTCCAGGGAAAAAATTCACTTTCTCTGGGTTTCTGTTTTCATTKTTTAACAAATACATCTTGGTTCCTACTGGATAATCTAAGGTGGTTTCCACCCACCCACTGCCTAGTCCTGGGACAGGTTTGAAATTAAGGAATACTGGGATATGTTCCCTCCATTATCTTCAAAAAGTTTTGCCAAGCAGATGGGGCTTTGTTAGAATCCTCTACAATTCACTGTTTTACTTCTCTCCAGTGTCAATAAAAGCAGATGCTCTGTGAGAGTAGGAAATCTGAATTCTGTGGTCTGCTTACACGCAGAAACCACAGCACCTCTCTAAACGTTCCTTTGAGTCCTAAAGTTAATGATTTGATCGTGGTGGTGTGAAGTGAAAGGATCTGGGCATCCAGGTGTTACTTGTTGTGTTCCCTAAGGAGTGKAAGGCAGCTCAGAGAAGGCTCCAGGAGATCGTGCTGGTGGTGGGATTTGTCCTCAGCTGGATGTTCCTCACTCCATGCAGGAGCAGAAACAAAGGCAGTGGTGTCAATAATGAATGCAAAGGTTTTATTTTGTTTGAGGGAGGTTTGGATCCAGACAAACTCTGGAGCTCTCTTTGACTCAGCTCTCTTTGACTCATCCTGAGATGTTCAGTGTCCTCCCAAATGCTGTCCTAGCAGGGCTGTATCTGTAGAAAGGTCACTGAATCAGTTGGCAGTGGCAATGGGACTGCAGACCCAGCAAATCTGATCCTCAGAGACTCCAAATGGCATCATGATGGCTGGGATAGGATGATCCCTCTCCCTTTGCTCCTCTCTGATATGTCTGTTCCTAACCCTGTTCCTCTGCATCACGAAGCATGTGATTATCACTGCAAACCCATCCGTGGACTGGAGCTGAGGCAAGGCCTGGGGGAGGSCTGAAAGCAGCTCTCAGAGAGTTTCAGCTGATGCAAAACCGCTGCTGTCGGGTGTTTATTCCCCTCCAGGCTGCGTGGGCAGCACAAGCCGCTGTGCCTGCTTTAGCTGCAACTACCAGACCGAGCCACCTGGGGAGGCTCGTGGGGCTTCCCAAACCTGGAAAAATGCTGCCATCCAAAGCAAAAGAAACCTTTCTTTCACCMCCATGTCCAATTTGTTAATTTTTGTTTTCCTGCCCAGTTCCTTATGCCACCCTGCAATAATAAAAGACAGGAGAAAGCAATGAAGATAATCCCCTCCCTACGGGTTTGCAGGTGTTGCTCAGGCATCTTTGGGTGCCTCTGATGCCCCCTGTGCTGGCAGCTGAGTCTGAATGGATGCAYTGACCAGTTCTGGGTGATCYCCAYAGGATAATTAWGGTTGGAAAAGACYTCTAAKGTCATYRAGTYCAACTATTAACCCAGCACTTCCAGGTCTACCACTAAACCACATCATCAAGTGCCAAATCTGCACRTGTTTTGAATACTTCTGCAGATGATGATTCCACCACKTCTCTGGTCAGCTYGTTATGATGYTTGACCAYGCTTTCAGWAAAGAAATTTTTCCKAATATCTSCTTCAAACCCTCCCTGGCACAACTTGTAGCCACATCCTTGTGTCCTATCTCTCCTTTCCCGGCAGAAAAGATGAACCCCCCATGAATGTTTGGCTTTTCATCCTCTGTCCTCACTCCCACGTTTGTTTCTTTCATCTTCCAGGGCTGATCCTTCGAAGRTGCATTTTAGATGAGGAAGGCATAGCTTACTGGGATCCTCCAACGTACATCAAGTGTGTTTCTATCGATTACAGGAACATACAGATGATGGTAAGGCAGCTCCACTCCCTCAGCTCAGCAGGTTTGGGATCCATCCCAATGATTGTTATGCGGCTGTAGTTCAAAAAGAAGGAAAAAAGGAGTTTCCAGCTCTGCCTTGGATTTTCTCTTACTGTTTTTACTGCTTACCTTGTGATGCACGGGCACTCCATGAATTGTTTCTATCAGGATATTTTAATATCTATCWGGGCAGAATTTGGGTTCTATAGGTCTTTTATATTACATTATCATTAAGTGTCACTGTGTCACTTTTAAATAAGCATCTTATTTTTTGTTCATCTTAAATTCATTGTTATGAGGAATTTCTGCTGGTCTGCTGTGGCCTTCAGGAGAACTGACCTTTCCTGTTCAGGGAAAGTCTGTCCTAAAATAATTGTAAATTGGTTGTAAGAAAACAAGGTTTAGGGCAAAAACATTCTATTGGGTTATGAACAGAAGAAAGTTCGTAGTTGAACAATTTCTTCTTCGTGGGCAAACAGAAAAGTTCAGTTCTCTGTCATTTCAGAACTCCCTGGAAGATAACTTAGAATCTATCACTCTTTTCTATAATTTTAAAAATATCAGGCCAGCAAAGATTGTCAGATTCATCTAATCTGCACTCTGAATCGTGAGAGAGGTCAAAAACCTTCCCTTCAGCAATTCCTTCACTGAGYTCATTAACTTTGACTGTCCCTGAATTGTTTCTCAGCGTTTCTTTTCTGTTTCTCAGGCCAGGGAACACCTTGCCAAAGCTCAGCRTGGGTTAATGGGAGATGGGCTGTCAGACGTGCTCCAGAACCTTGTGGAAATCTCCCAGGATGGGACCAGCTACAGCGGGGACCTGCTGTCCACCATGGACGTACTCAGGAACATGACAGAGATCTTCCGTAGGGCTTATCACAGCCCAACTTCTGGGGATGTGCAGGTGAGCCCAGGGGCATTTCCTGGAGCCCAGGGCTGGGTTAGAGGGCTATCCCTGCTCAAGGTTTGATTACTGATACTGATTGTAGCTGATAAGAGTGCTGATGAAAATCAGATTTTTCCCACCATCAATATTTTTCTGTAGTAACAAACTCTTCTTTCAAGGCAGTTCTTCCTCMGTTTATAAACTAAGAACTTGAAAGCCAAGGTCACTCTGAGCTATTTCAATCTGATAGCACTTTACTGCAGAGGCTAATTGATATGAGGGCATTATTTGGCAGGGATTTCAGGCTAATGATTCAAGGGAAAATGATCCTGTGGCATCGGATACCTGGATGTTGATTTTGTAAGGGGAATTTCCTTACAGTTTCTCATCCCAGGRTTTTACTTCCAGCAGCTACAGGATACACCCTTGGGATGGGTCATCACCCAACAACTTGAAACATTAAACTGATCCTGCAGGATCTGCTGTGAGTGGTAAAACTGGAGGAAAAAAAGAAATCAATAGTCTTGAATTTCCTGTCTCCTTCCTTCTCATTGTGTGCTGCAAAGGTCCTACCATGGGCAGCACCCTCTTGATCCATCTCTGCTTCTCTTACCTGGTTGCAGGCTAAAGGGGATTCATATGTTGGAAACAACAGAAAYAGTAGAAAACAAGACAGGGARCTATTCAGGCAATGGAAGATCATCWSKTTTTAGCCAGTTTCTGACACACATTTACCTAATCTGTTCTTAAAAATCAGTAATGGATRCAAGATGTATTCCCAATCCAATGCCTGAGGAGATACAGGAGTTAAAGTGAGGGCCTTAGGAGAAAGGACTTAATTAAAACCTGTTTTGCCATTAACACCCTTGGAGACCTGTGAAATGCTGTGGGACCTTTTGGGAATGGGAACTCGAACTCTTGGAGCATTTCTGAATCTCACATGTCCCTCCCAAAGCCCTGTGACCCTGGGCTATGTTTGCATAACCACCTCTTCTGTCCTCTTCTGTCTCCCTTCTCCAGAACTTCGTCCAGATCATCAGCAACCTTTTGTCGGAGGAAAACCGGGAAAAATGGGAGGAAGCTCAGCTGGTATGAACCTTCAACACCTTCCCTGGAAATAAAGTGGCTTTCAACTCGGGGTTTAAGCCAGGAGGAGGGAAATTTCCAAGYACCTGCATSACCTCCTAAGATGAGCTTAGTTCCMAGATGGARTCACATTAATGGGGTAACTCAGGGAGCCACAGGATCTCAGCTCTGAGCCAGACTGTGCATGAAGAATGGTGAAATGCTGGCAGTATAAACCAAATTTGGGGTGGCTTTCAGGGGTCAGGCTTGGCTTGGAATTGATAATCCTGATGCCTTGCTGTAATTCTACTTTTCCCTCTTGTCAAGATAAAGAAGTGGGATCACATGGATTTGAGTTCCTGGCTGTAAAGATGCAGGACAGGAGGGATTTTCAGAGCTGGGGTCTGCTCAGCTGAGCTTCTGGTTCTGTTCAGCATGAGCTGAGCATGAATTCAGTTGTGTTTTGCTTTATTTTTCTCTTGTCAGGGTTAGGGAYCCTGCCCGGTCCTGAACTCCTCATTCCTGAAAGTGTTCAAGGCCAGGTTGCAAGGGACTTWGAGCAAGATGTAGGAAGTCTCCTTGTCCATGGCAGGAATTTGGAATTAGATGACCTTCAAAGTCCCTTCCAACCCAAGCCATTCTAAGATTCTATGAATAATTCCACAGCTGAACTCTCCTGCATTTAGGGGATGGTGTTGCTTTTTATTTCTGTGTCTTATTTGGCCCATTTGAGTTCTCTGTTGTGGACTTGTGTCTGACCTATTCCTTTGTCCCTTTGCCCTTCCTTTTTTTGGGCTGTTGCTGTTGCAAAATTCCTCCAAGAGATCTGGAAACAGCAAATAATGAAGAAAAAAAAAAATCACCCAACACAAAAAGCAACCCCAGAATCCAGTTGCATTCACACCAACCAGGGAAGTCCTCTGGGAAAAAGTTTTTAACAGCAAGTGCTGGCACAGTTGTTGAAAGTCAGTCCAGAATATGAGGTGGGTACTCGAAAGCATTATCATGCAACAGCAACTCTGTCAGGATCTGAGCAGCCTTTTCCTCTCTTTGCCCTGATATTTTTGTGCTTTCCCATTGCATTTAGATGGGGATGACATAGTCTGTCTCTGGTTGGGAGAGAGAATCATCTGGACATGGTCCTGGGTGAGGTGGTCCTGCTAGAGCAAGTGGGTTGGGTCAAATGGCCTCCGAGGTCCCTTCCAAACTAAACTATGCCATGATTCTGTGATTTTGTGTCTGAATACGTGGTCTCAAGCCTCCAGGTGAATGTACCTATTTCAGCACGGAAGAGAGGAGACTTTCAGGTTGTCATGACAACAGGGAAACCCCCCCCCCCCCCACTGATCCCCTCAAAAACAGCTCACTCCCCGTGGCACTTGGTTCCCAGCAGCTTTCTCTGYGCAATCTGCTCTTTGCACCTCCAGACAGGCACAGCCCAACATCATCCATGACCTACACGTGGATTGAGAGCATCACGGGGGGAATGTGTTCCTGGTGTGTATTTCAGTGGGAATTGAGGTGACAGCCCAGCACTACAACTTCAGGACACAGAAATCCTCGTGAGCAGGATGACGGCAGAGGTTTCAGCAGTCTCTGTGCTTCTCCCTCAAGGCTGCTGGACCAAAATCACACCTTGCATTTCACAAGATCAACCAGTTCTTTTAAACCAAGGCTTTTCTCACCCAATTTGCTCATTAAAAATAARCCAGCTTCATTGCAGTCTCACACCCCAATGCCCTGTGCCCCCCAGGGCAGAGAGATGTTGTTCAAACAAAATAAAAACTAAAACAACCCATAAATGCATTCAGAAAATGGCTACAATGATTTTTGAGGAGCCTTTGTTGACCATTATACAATAAAACCTAAGACACAACATCCAGTGTAGCCCAGAGAAGGTTTGACATTGTGATTTCAATCTGTAATGGAATATAAAAGTATGCAGCCAAAAATAGCATCCTCACCCAGTTCTCCTCCTTCTGTGTGCACCTGCTACACTGGCAGGACTTTTTAATCTCATCCTAAGAAACTGAAATTCCTTGGACAGACACACAGAGATAGACATGCATGGCCACCCCTGAGCTCCTTGCCCACACTCTCCATGGCCCAGCCTTCCTCCTGCCACCTTCCCATCCTGGTTGTCCCCAGCTGCCCCTCCAGCTCTGCTCCTCCATTTCAGAATGTCTGTATTATGGTGAGGAACAAAAAAAAAAAAAGCTGTGAAAGTGATGGAAAAGAAAAAGGAGCTGAAAATTGCTTTACTTCAGCTCCTCGTAGTATTTGCTAAGCCCCTGTAGACAACTGTGTTTAAGGAAAAGAGAGGGAGAAAGCAGAGCTCAATTCAATCTTCATTGTACATTGTTCCATGATTTCATTATTTCAATGGGTATAATTTTGGCAAGTATTGGTCCTATTCACTGCACATCATTTCATCCCAATCCATTGTGCTTCATACACTCCATTTCCCA